CCATATCTTTTATATTCTGTGTTCCGATGCTGTAACATTCAGGGCCTTGCTGATCCTAAAAGGACTACTCCTCCCAGGTTAGTCAATTCCTAGAAATAGTAAACAATGCATCCACAAGCATGCTTTTCAAATATAAATCAACCAGAGCCCACACCTCAACCATCTCCTTTACCAGGCTCTCACACTCCAGGCTACTATCCACTTGCCCTAATTACCAGAAGCCCAGGTACCATACAAATAGGGATAGTTCTTATGCCTCAGAGCCCACTGAATGTATATTCAGACTAGCCAAACCTAAACTTGTTTACCCTACCAATCCTAATCCTTTCCACAGAGCCCACACAGTTCCTCCCTCTCCCTCTGCCTGTTGATCAATTCAGGTGCTTCCCCATAGGGCCCCCTGTTGCATAGTGTGCTCTTTCCTGTTGAGAACAATAAGTAACAAACTATCCTTTCAATGACAATCATCTCCTGATATTGTCCTTACCATGCCTCAAATTTTCTATTAATACACTATACTTTAAAACATTTCAATGCTTGGGCTCAAAGTCATCTCATCTATATGTCATAGGGTAGAATTCTCTGATCTCAAGATATATCAGCCTTAAAAATTACAAAACCATCATTGGGATGTAAAGTATAACATAAGGAATATAGTCAATAATATTATAATAACTATGTATGGCATCAGATAGGTACTAGATTTATTGAGGTGATCACTTCATAAGTTATACAAATGTCTAATCACTATGTTGTACATCTAAAACTAATATAATATTGTATGCCAACTGTAATTAAAAAATAAAAAATTATTTTAAAAAGATTGAGCAAATCCAAAACTGTTTTGTAAGAAAAATACATAGCCCCAAATATAAGCTTTCCTAGCCCATCCCAATGGGGTAGAGAAATTTCCTGCATTTAAAAAGAAAATCAGACTCTTGCCTTTGCCCAACAAGTTGTTATATTGCTGTATGTCAAAGGTATTTAAGTTATATGAATATTCCATCAATCAACAATACATAGTATGTATGCTTTAAGTAGTGGTCAGTAACATTAAAATTAAATTTTCTCTTTCATCCAAAGGCCTTGATGAAAGGACAAATAGGCCTTTAACCTATATGCCCGGATTATTAGTCCTAGGCAAACAGAGGATGCTTGCTATTCACTATTCTATGTTTCTTAAACTATAATCTTAATCAGGTCAAATCCACTGAAAGTTATATATCTGAACTCTTTCAACATTATTTTTTTCTTCTTGTTATTAGTTTAGAATTCTTATTGTGGATGGCCAATTTTTAAAAATAGATCAAATGTCCCCTACCCATATTGTAATGTACAGAAGATCCATAGGCAGTTTTATCTAACCACACATAGTATATTGTATTGTTAACAATTAGATATTTAGCAAAGAGGTATATTAGTTGTCAGGGTCCTTCAAAAAATATAAAATAAATGAGATTTATACAGAAAGATTTATTTAAGGGAATTGGCTCACACACTGTGGGAGTGTGGCAAGTCTAAAATCCGTAGGGTGGGCCGATAGGCTATAAATTCATGTAAGAGTTAATATTACAGTCTTGAGTTTGAAATCCACAGGGCAGGCCAAGCTGGCCAGAAACTCAGGCAATTTCTATGATGCAATCTTGAGGCATAAATCTTTCTCCTTTGGGAAATCTCAGTCTTTTTGTCTTAAGGATTTCAAATGATTGAATAAGCCCCACCCATATTATGGAGAATAGCCTGCTTTACTTAAAGTCTTCTGATTGTAAATGTTTATCATATCCAAAAAAATTTTCACAGCAACATGTAGACTGGCGTTTGACCAAACAACTGAGCATCATGGACTAGCCAAGTTGACACATAAAACTATCACAAGGGGTATTTAATTTTGTTTTAGTTTGAGATTGGGTTCAGGTTATGATGATTGTGGTAGTTATGAGGGTACTATCATAGAATTATGTTTCCTCCATTTGAATTTTACTGTCAGTTTACATTTATTCTACACTTGGAGAGCTGCTATTCAGAAACCAGGCTGAGGTACTAATCTATTTTGTAAAGTGTTATGCAATCAAATCCTAGTAATTCTATTATGGTGTACTATTAACACAGTCAAAATTATAAAATTAATTATTAAATTGACCATTAGACTTCTGATGGTTCTAATCACATTGTAGTATAATAGAATAAATCTGTGTTAATAGATGAGCTTTAACTAAAATAAATTGTGAAGTTATTATTGAATTTCAATAATACTAGTCAATAATACTAGTCCCTAATTTCAATAATCAACTTAGACCATAAAAATAAGCTAAATAAGGATTTCAACCATCGAAGTGGATTTTAAAATCAAATTAATTCAGAGTTGTCCCATACCTGGCAAGTAGAGCATCTTAAAACTGGATTCTCATCGACCAGAGGCTGACCGCTTAGTCTATAAAATACCAATATGGACAGTAGGTCTCTAATACTGAAATGAAGTGTGGCTTTGTGAATAGAGTGTGGGTTTTCAGAGTCAGAAACTCTGCCATTTGTTGGCTGGGTGACTTCAGAAGTCTCAGTCTTAAAGGGTTGCATTGTGAAGGTTATTGAGGATTAAATGAGTTTGTACTTGTAAAGTATCTACCACTGTGCCTTATATTCATAGACACTCAATAAAAGGAAGTTTTATTACTCTCCTTGTTCTCCACAATGGCTTATGAAATCCCATTCACAAGCTCATTCTTTTTATCACCACAAACCTCTTGACTTTCCCTTACTATCTAACTTCAACAACTTGGTTCATTCTTCATTTGTTTCTTTCTAAATAAATACAGAAATATTCTTATCTTTAATCAGCAAACATTTATTAAGTGTCTATTCTATAGGAGGTTCTCTGACTCAAACATTACAAAGATGAATAGAATACAATCTCTGGCCTCAAAATCTCTGAAAAATTAGAAATTATTCCAGAATCCATATAGAGTAAATTCCATTCCAGTATCCTACGTTTAAGATCCTCCAAAGTATTCTGAAATCTTCCCAGCCTCTTCCTCCTCATCTTCTTTTCCTCTTGCCTCCCTGAAGTTCTAGTTCTTTGTTATGACACAGATTCCAGAACCTTCATAGGCCACACTCCTATAGTCCGCTTAGGTCTGATCAACCTAAGCCACACAATTCCTCTGCGACCCTCTGCATTCTTGTCTACAAGGGCCTTCACATCCAAGTTCATACTGCTTGGAAACAGTGAGCTTGGGGTGGTTTTTATCTTCATTGCTCTTCAACAAAGAAATCCAGATGACACAGAACCTACCGAAGATAATACCTGGAAAATGGCAGTCTTGGGTATGGACTGATTCCCTGAGGCCTCCTTGACCCTATGGGTCAGGAGTCTTCTTTTGGGACCTGAACACAACTGTTTTATTTTCCTTGCCTGCTTTCTTTCAAATTCAATATCCCTTCTTACACTTTCATTGATTCCTCTTGGACCTTGGGGAAAATAATTCACAGTTAATTCAACTCGAGAGTGAGTGCTGATTCTCCTTCAGTTTATGGACTTTGAACTTTTCAAAGAAAATAACCATCCTTCAGAGCAATAGGAAAATTCTTTAGCCTATTATCTCACTTCTTGTAATATCGTTCACTTAAAATCTGTGCCAACCCTTCTTATTATTTCCTCATAAATGGAGATTATCTTCTAACTGCCCTGTAGCTAGAACATCTCAGACACCACTCAAAGGGAGTATTACTTTCCAGAGGTTTGTTCTGAGTATACCACCTGGTTATCCCTTCCTCCCCCAAGGATTATTTCACATGTTAAAAAATTCTGACTTGTATGATAAAGGCAAAACTGACTATTTATTGTTCATTTTATGGTCCATTAGGAGCATGTCTTTGAAGGTTGATTTGCCTGGAGTATTTTTTCACATGACCTAACACTTAAAAATCTCAGTAGACATTTGCTTACTCTGCCCTATTGGAGGTGTGCCCTTACATCTTGAGGCGAATTCACCTATTGCTTTTCTGCAGTAGCCTTAATTTTTAATGTAATTAAATTCTTAGCCTTTCAGAGTTCAATTTTCTTCAGCACTTTTTACCATCACAGGTATATTTATAATTAGTTCATTTATTCATTCATTCACTCATTCCTCCCTTCCTTTCTCACTTCCTTCCTGCTCTCATTCTATCTGGTGCTCATGTTTGTACTCTTGCTCTCTTCTCCCAAAGCCTCCGTAGTCTCTGTTCTTCATAACCACAGCAAAGTATCTGATTAATGTTTTCTCTCCTATGACACAGAAACAAATACAGGTTAGTCAGTCCCACATGTTTTCTTCTATTAACCACAGTAACAACCTTCACAAATATCTTATCATGAGGGGCTTGGTGTGTGATGACTAAAAAGTCTTTCTCAATGATAAGAAATTTTTGTCCTCTGCTTTGTCTTTTATTAATACAACCACTTTCAGTCAGGATCTTCCAGTCAGGGGCCTCCAAAATTTTTGATCACTCACCCATGTAAAAAAACTTTTAACATGCATTCCTTATATATGTATATTTATAAATTTTATGAACATACTACTATACTACTATATGCTTTAATACGGAAAATCTAGAAATCTTAAGTTATAACATAAAATTATATAAAACTTGAACAACATCTTTTTCTTACACCCCAAAGAATTGCTTTGCATACCACTGATTCCCTAACCTTCTACTGTCTGCAGAATAAGGAGTTCAGTTATGGAGGAATCTGTCAGATTTAGCCTGTTATCTCACTATCTAACCTCTAAACCAAACTTACACAGCTTCTGAGGTTCTTAGTATCTGAGCAAAAGGACCAACATAAAAGCTAAAAAAATCATCAGGGGAAGAAATGTGGGGACAATAAGATGAAGACAATGGAAAATAAGGAATTAAGATAACAGATGGATAGCAAGGGGTGTCTATCTGGTAACAAAAGTACGAGGTGACCATAAGTTGTCTCTGATAATGAACGGGCCTAAATAAGCAGGTCTACAGGTGAGTTTTTGTTTTAGAAATAACTTTGGCTGTCATCCTGACTCTACTGGGGCTTGCCATTCTGGCTATTTTGTTAACAAGATGGACACGACGCAAGCAAAATGGTGAGTAACAATGAATCAAAATGGAGATTCCTTCTGAAAGTTACAAAGGGGGAAGGGAGGCTAAGATTCAGTCTGAGTTCATTTCTACTCATCAGATAGCTAGAGACTTTGCAAATATTCTGGGAATCCATTTTAATACGTGAATCAAAGAATCTCTGACCTATTAGTAATTCCCTCTGCACTTTTAAACTCCCAAAGCTAGCATTTCCAATAATTTCAACCAAAAAAAAAAGTCAAATTGGGCTTAACAATATTAATAACAAGAATACTCCAAAAGAAAATTATCTGATCTCCAAGGGAAATTACCTGTGGAGGGCAGGGGCAATAGAAAAGATAAGACATTGTGCTGGTAGACACCACTAGTTAGTATTCTATGGAAAGACTTTAAGAATTTTAGAGACTTAATACTAGGAAGATGATGAGTCAACTATAGGGTAGTAGTACTTGTCAATGAAACAGAGATGGGGCTAGTAAAGGCACTGACCTATTTCCATGCTACGAAGTGTGTCTTTCCAGGATTATTCTCATTATCTTTCCCATTTCCTTCTAGTCAGCTGCATCCCCTCCCTATTTCTCATCCTTAGTCCCTGTGATCCCTCTGAAAATAAGTAATGTGGAAGGATAAATAGAACATGGATGGCTTGAGTCACAGAAAGAGGTGGGAACCAGTGATGTATCATATCAGAGGGGCGCCTTGGGAGCAAAGCAGTTCAGAGCAAGGAGAGTTGGGACAGAAGGAAGAACACCTCTCACAAGTAGCCAATAAAAATATTTTTTTGCTTAATTCTTCCGCAGAAATTGATGTCTCAAGATACAATTCAGAACAAAGTAAGTACTTACACCCGTGAGAAAAAGAAGGATGGTAAGCATTTATGAAATTTCCACGAGTTGGTGACCAACTTATTTACCATTGATTTGCAGCTCCTTGCATAATGTGTCATTCCATGAACTGAACTGCTAAGTTACTGGGAGAAATCCACCAGAGATTTCTATGAATGCCAACTGGAGTTTGGCAGAACGAATTAGTAGTAGGTAGGTCTGCATGATTCTGAGGCTCTCTTCAGATGCCTGTGGTCCAAGAGCAGCAACAGAGATACCAAACCATGGAAATAGCATACTCCTCAGGCATTAAAGCAGAATGTCTAAAACCATTAAAAAGAGCCTGAGCAATGCAGCTGGGTAGAAGAATCTGATGTAGCTAGAAATAAGAGTGAACACAACTAAGATGAGTATGATTGACAAGGAGAGCACCAAGCTCCAGAGGCAAAGAAGTAAAGCAGTTTTTCCATGGCAATGTCTAGTGAGATAGCCAAAGTTACAGAAAGAAAGCCCAGAATTAGTAAGAAAAGAAAAACAGGGGCTAAGTACTGGAGTACCAAGAAGGAAAAGCAACTTTGAGCCTTCTTCTGATTATTATTTAATCTAGCTAATACGACTAGGTGACTGGCATGGTCATTTATCATCATCTGCTCCTGCTACTTAAGCACAGCCTCTAGTTCTTACAAAAGAACTAAGGACTAGGGACTATGCTTAATTTCCATCATTGTTTACTACCAAGAGTTCATGTCTACATTAGCTCTCAGAGTCTTAAAGCCTCACTAATTTTCAAGAAGCAAAGTCATGAAGCTTTCTGTCTTTTTTTCTCCAGGTGCTGGTCTCCTGGACTATGAGGATGGTAGAGGTAAATATATTAGGAAGTACTAGAGAATTAATGGAAGGAATGTGTTCTTTAGAGAACAAAATGAACTCATCTCCCTTTAAGCATGATTTCTTAGGTCAGCACATTTTTAACTATTAAAATAACCAACTGCCAATCTATCTCTCTATGCAGATATATCCACATGAAAGATTTGTCCATTTTTCTCAGAAAGGCAAATATGTCCCCTTTCTAAGACCATTTAAAGAATTTTTCCAGCTCTTGTTTTTTCCATGATCTTGGAAAGATTAAAGAATCTCTCTGAAACAATTTCCTCATGTGTAAAATGGGAATAAATTACATAATTCATGGGTCATCATGAAAATTGAACAGTATATATGAAATGACACTTTGTAAGCTATTAAGTACAATGTAATAGGTAAATACAACTTGTATTATTATCTCCACTTTAGAAGAAATTGATGCTCAGAAAGATTAAGAGACTTACCCAAATTCATAGAAAAGGAAGGAGTTTGATAGGGAACTCAGGTTTGTGATCCTGGACCCAGTATTCATATTGTTATACCATACTACCAAAATTGATTTAAGACCCAAAAAAGGGTCATTTTATGCTGAATTTTAGTATTTCTTATTGATAATATAGTTATACTTTGCCCCTCAAATCAGGACATGTGGTCTTGCATTAGTAAAGAATAATGATAAAGCTTATTTAAAATAAGACATCCAGAAATCTGATGGTTCTAAGGAGATTCCAAGGCACTCTCTACATTTGTGTAGGGACACACGCACGCGCGCGTGCGCGCGCGCGCACACACTTGTAGGGACACACGCACGCGCGCGCGCGCACACACACACACACACACACACACACACTACAAGCATATAGATTCATATCCCCTAGAGGAAAGAGAAGAGGTAGCTTGGTCACTGTGTTTACTGTTCATGCCCCACATTTGGACTCTTGGTCCATTAATCCTCTTATTTCTGATTCATCTGTCATGAACAGTGAGAGTAAGGAGCAAAGGACCATGGCATTCCCTCTTTCTTTCCTGATATATAATCTAAAGAAAACAGGAACATCTTCAAAAGAAAAATATCTTAGTAGTTGGCTATATACTAATGATAAAACATTTTTGATGGATTATAAGTAAACTTAATCTGTCTTATTCCCCAAAGATTTTTCCTCTTAGACATCTGAAACAGGAGGAAGTAAACAGACTTTCACCTAATAAGAAAATAATGCAGACATAGTCGTCAAGGTAGATCTCATTGTTTACCTTTTGTCTTTTAGGATTCCGACATTCATATTCAACAGAAAGTGGTAAATAAATTTGATACTGAATTGCTAAGAAATTAATACAGAAATCTGTTTATGAGAAATTAAGAATTTTATATTTTTTTCTCAATCCTTTAGACACTTCATATGATGATCGAGGTAAGTATATTTAGAGATCATGGTAAAATTAAAGGGAAATCAATAATTTTCTGTTATAACATGAGGGGCTGTGAAACTTACCCAAATAAAAAGATAATAAACCAAGTAGCATATAGAAGATTCTGAAAAGTGTTCTGAAATATTCACCTTCACACTATGAGGCACCTCTTTCCCCAGTGCTATCTAATTCTTCTTCTATTCACCTCCTAATCAGTTAACAAAAGTAATCTGAGTACTCAAGAGAAAGTCAATGTCCTAGAGCTCAGAAATGCTAACCATTCTGTGTGCCTTTCTTAATACAAATGTTAAGAAATGGAGGAATAAATCCCTGAAAATATCACATTAGAGTATGACATGTGCACTGAAATTCTAAAGGCACAAAGAAGTGCTGCTATTTTCTACTGTTGTCATTTACATCTCATGTTTCTTGGGAAATGAACCTCCTCATCAGGGCACCTCATTTAACCAGTGCAAGAAACTACCTGAATGTAAGGAATTTAAGAGGGTACACAGATAAGGAAAATAAAACTATGCACACTTGGAAAGGGAGAGAATTAACATGCACTCAGCACTTGCTAAGTGTTAGCCACTCTAATAGGCATTTTTAATTTTATTTTATTTAATATCTACAAATGGCCTTGTCAACCATACAAGGATGAAGAACACAAAAGGCCCAACCCGACCTGTCCAAGGCCTCTTCTAGCTCATAGTTTACTTTGGTGCGAGTTAGAGAGGGCTCCTTCCACCAGGTAGATGCAGCCCCACGTCAGGGACACTGTTAGGGATTTCAGTCCCATATCCCTTTGTACAGTGAACAACTTATAGAACCATAATACAATGGTCCTGAAGGTGTATGAGAAGTATCTCACTCTCAACATGTCCAAAACCCAAGTTCTGGTTCTTACTACATACAGGTACTGGCACCTGTATTCACTCAATTGCTCAGGTCATCTACCTTATAGTCATCTTCAACTACTTTTTCTCACTCTTCTCATCCAATTCACCAGTAAATCCCATGCCTAATACTTTTAAAGTCTGACTTCAAATGTAATGTATTTAGAGAGTTTATTCTTACACAATTAAGTAATGTCTTTTTTTTTTTAATTAAGTTAGTAATGTCTTAACATCCTGGCTATGGATCTTTAATTTGCAGTCTACAATCTTAGCTTCTTTCTATTTCAGGCTACTCTTGCATTCTTAGAGAAAACTTTCATCAGTAAACATTTTATTGTTGTCTGAATAAGCCATAATTTAAAATTCATAATGCCAAATGACAATTTCTTTTCTCTGACTTTCCGGTCACCTTTAAGGTGGCCCTATAAATCTCAGTCATTCTAGTTTCTAAGTTCCCAAGCTCTACCACTTTTCTCTCTATCATTTCTGGACATAGACATATAAATTTGCTTGTCAGTTTAAGACTATAGAAGCCTTCTGACAGGAAAATATTTGGTAAGATCATTATATAAGTTTAGATATGTGAAATTTAGTACTTAAATCTTAGTTGAATTTAAATATATCACATATTAAAGTTGCTGTGGTAATTAACTTTTATATGTACTGGTTTTATTTTTAATATTATTAACTTTTAGAGCACATGAAAGTGTTCATCATCTCTTAATATTTACTTCTTATAAGTATTTACTTTTTTTAAAAACCCACAGAACCATGAGAAACGAGTAACATTGGTGTAAAATGCAGAAGATTTTGTGTGTTTTGAACTTAATTCCTATCACAATGACAACCAAGTATGGAAGAAAAACACTCATTTTCAGAAATAAGCTTAGAAAAAAAATACACGTTGTCTTGACATTTTTACATAAATTTTAGCTACTTGTACTTTCATATATCAAATGCTATCATCATGCAATATATTTTAAGTCATTTCCAGAGTGTATTATTTATTTTTATTTATTTTTACACTTTCATAGAAACAATAGTTAATATATGACTAGTTTTTGTGTAATTTGCTTTGTCTTTTAGAAAGTCTGTTTCTATGACATCACTAAGAAACAAGTTTTAGGTCACAGGATGCATATCCAATCACAATAAATATATGTATATGTATTCATTATAGTTTGCCATATCTTCATTGAATTTGAATTCTCATTCAGCTAAGTAAATATTTTGCCATTTCTTCTCTTACTTGGCTTCAACTTATTTTATAACTAATATATTTTTCTGTTGCAGCATTTCCATGTATAGTTTATTATTTCCTCTCACTACATGTTTATCTCAGTTAAACTTTGCCTGATTTATCATGTCATTTGACTCAGAAATTAAATCCTGAGAAACTGGAGATTTTGCTCCAGTTTCTTGCTTACTTGGGAGTTTGAGGGTGGTAATTGGGTAATCCTCTGTAATAACATCAAAACTATAGAAATTAAAAATCTAAACTGATTTTTATTTTGTTTCTGTTTCTAGAAGGATCCACAGGAGATTATAGTAAGCATTATATAGTTTCTCCACTAAAATCTGCTTCCTATTAATAACACTTCCCTAATTGTAAATACTTTGAGGAAATAAAATCCTATCAGTTTCTATGAATACTAAGCAATAGATAAAGTCTCCTAGTGCTGGTTTAAGATGGTCTGTCAGTAACAAACAAGTTTCTAAATTGAGAGGAAAGGAAATAAATAGAGAAAATAATGAGTGGGAAACAAAAGGAAGTGATGGAGTTAAAGGAGGAGAAGAGAAAAAGGACAAGAAGAAAGAAAGGAAAGATGAGGATAGAGAAAAATATGTCACAAAGTTTCACAGGAATAGTATCTGTCTACTAAACCCTTTATAGGGATTGAAAGGATGAGAGATAGCTGGGGGCAGGGGATCGGGAGGAGCGGGAGCCTTCAGTACTCACCACAGGTCAGTGGATCTCTCAGACCCTGGGCTTCCAGATTCTGATAATTCACCTAATGTTTCTCTCTGTGTGTGTTTAGCATCATCAGCCAACTCTCTAGGTAAGTTCTTCATGGTTTTTCAATTCTACTGTCATCTGGTTTGCAAGTCCTGTCATTTCTGTATTTGTTTTTCTTTCCCTGAAATAAGTTTTAAAAATAAAGTACAAAAATAATTAACATTGTAACTTCACTCCCTAGATTTGACAACTAATTTTTTGTCATATTTCTCAAATGACAGATAACATAGAAATTCTTTTTGTCCTCATTCTCCTTTCTTCCAAAAGACTTACAAATGTATTATAAATCTTTTAAGTGTATTTTAATATATTTATATAATCTCTATCACCGAACAATATATAGTATTGTTTTGTATGTATTTTAAAAGTTTTACTAAAATTGCATCATTCTGAAAGTATCATTACAACTTGCTTTTTTCCTCAGAACATTCTAATATTGACATATATAGAAATCCAGATTATACATTCTGATCGTTAAATGATATTCCAACTTATGAATATATAATATTTATTCTATTCTTTTCCCTGCTGATGCATTATCAATGTTTCCAATTGCAGCTATCACAATGCTGCAAAATGTCCTTAAGTAACTGGAAAGTTTATCCAGGGTACATACCCTGATGTGGGATTCATGAATCACATTGTGTATGAACATTTATGTAATTTAGGCATGTTTTAATTTACTAGCTTATTTAATAAAGCTCCATGGTAGTTACGTAGGAGGCACACCAAAATGCATAAAATTTTCCCATTTCCTTGCATAAATAACAACTCTAGATTTTATCATTCTTTCACATTATCACCACTTTAATAAGAGTAAAAAATTTTTAATTTGCATTTTTCTGCTCACTCCGGAAATTGAGTATCTTTTCATATGTTCACTAGCTAGTTAGTTACAAAATCCCATGCATTAATATGGCTTATTCACATTTCTTAATGCCCCTCAATAATGTTCTAAGTTTTCTCTAAAAGGTCTTAAGTATCTTTTGTTAGATTAATTCTTATTCACATATTTCTTTTGTTTCTGCTATGAATGTTATTTCTTTTCTATTAGATTTTACAAATAATTATTGCTGGTATATAAGTTGTATATTGCATCGTTGAGAGTAGCTTTTGTGTCTAGACACCTTGCTGAGTTCTAATAATTTTTAGATTCTCTTGGATTCTGTATATAGAAATCATATCTGCAAAAATTAAAAATTATGAGTCTTTTTTTCCAATTCTTAACCCTTTTTTTAATCTTAATTATTTTTCTTTTCTTATTATTCTGCCCAAAATATCCAGCACAATGTTTATACCAGCAATAATCCCAGGCATTCTTCTTGGTATCTGACTTTACTAGGAATATCTCTGGCTTCATCATTAAATATGATGCTTGCTTTCACTTGGCAATTCCCTTTTATTAGGTTAAGGAAATTCCTTTCTAGTACTAGTTTGCTAACAAAACTATCACAAATAAGGATTGAATAAATTTTAATTAATGCTTTTTTGTATTTAACAGCATAAAAGTATTTTATGATTTTAAAAACTGTTTGCTCTATCTATGGATATGCCCTGTTTTTATTCCTAATGTCATTGGGCTTATATGTGGAATCTAAAAATAAAATAAATGATCAAACAAAACCATAGATACAAAGAACAGACTGATGATTGCCAAATGAGAAGGGGATTGGAGAAATGGGTAGAAAAGATGAGAAGGATTAAGAAGTACAAATTGCCGATTATAAAAATAGTCATGGGTATATGAAGTACAGCATAGGGAATATAGTTAATAATATTATAGTAATGTCTATGGCCATGCTACCCTGAACAAGCCCAATCCTGTCTGATCTCGGAAGCTAAGCAGGGTTAGGCCTAGTTAGTACTTGGATGGGAGAATACCTAGGACGACCAGGTGCTGTAGATGTAAAAAATAAGGGATTGTAAACAGACAAGGTCCTTGCAATCTGTGAGGTCAACCAAGGGTTGCCTCGCCTAAAAAATAAATACATACATACATACATACATACATACATACATACATACATACATACTATTGTAGTAATTATGTATGGTACCAGATGAGTACTAGACTTATTGGGGTAAACAT